GAAATTTTGGATGTTTATATAGCCTATATTATTTCCCTTGAATGGCATGATGTGCTGTAAAAATCTCAGTAAAATTTGTTCAACGGTTTTTGAGTCTAGAAACAAAACATTTTTATTTCCTACATGTAGATTATTTAAGTGTAACGGAGAGTGCATTTCCATCGATCTTATCTCGCTCATATTTTTATGAATAATAAATATTGAAGGCGTTATCTGTAACCGTTCTTAAAATAAACGCATATTACATGTTCAGAAAATTTTGAGGTATGTTTACTATTGATGCTATAACTCCGCATCCACGCGGAATTTTAAAAGTTTATATAGCCTATGTTATTTTCAGGGCATGTCCCGACATACAGTGTAAATCTCATTAAAATCTGTTCAGCGGTTTTGGCGTTTATCGGTAACATACAAACAAACAAACAAATTATTTTCTATTTTATATATATAGATTCTATGTTCATTTTGGTACGCTGTACAAAATAGTGTATCAATCGGGCAAACAATGGGACTTGGGTGCACTATTGTAATTTCCAGATTCCAAGCTGTACTAAGGTTTTTTGGCGAAGAAGGTCTTCACCCACAAAGAACTTGCAATATTAAATTGCATCAATTTCGGTTAGAAATAGCGCCTAGGAAATCCAAATTCTTAAAACTTAGGGAGACATTTATATGGAACTCTGTGAAAACATCGACCTACCGAGTTTTCCATTTGAATCTAATTTCTGTCGCTCTCTTACAATAACAATCGAATTTTCACTGCCAATTATAAAATTGTTCTAATTTTTGGTCATAATTCTCGTCCCATCTGTTGCTTTGTGGTAGGCGATCAAATGCACCTAAGCTTTATTTTATTTATTTTTCTAATCTTTCTTGCGACCACAAAATTTTATAAAAACTTATTGTGGAATGACATAGTCAGGAGAATTTATTTATTTGATTTTCTATAAAATTTAATGATGTTCTCGGGAATGGGATCAAATAAAATGTTTTCAGTTGTCGACATATTTCGATATTGTATATTAATATTATCACACAATTGTCTCAGAATGTTACAATTGTTTTCTTTTGTTATAAAAATGTAAATAAGATTTGTTTCTAAATCTTGTGGATAACATTATCCGTAATTCAAACTCCACTTATATAGTTTCTATTCATTAACATTTGTCCCTGTACATGATGCTTACAGCGTTTTTATATGAAAATTTCAAATATGTTTTTATACCCTTCACCACACTGTGGTACAGGGTATTATGTCTTTGTGCATATGTTTGTAACAGGCAAAAGGAAACGAGATAGACACATGGTTCCTTTTGAGAATATGCATAGAATCACTTTCTAAGTCGATTTATGTCCGTCAGTCCGTCCGTCCGTCTGTCTGTCCATGTTAAATTGTAAACAAAGTGCAGGTCGCATTTATGATCCGAATTGGATAAAATTTGGCATAGGTCACTTATTCGTCCCAAGGACGAACCCTATTGAAATTGGGAAAAATCGGTTCAGATTTAGATATAGCTCCCATATTTATTTTCGTCCGATTTAAGGTAAAGGTAAAGTCCCTATATATCTTTCGATTTGCAGGAAATTTGGTACAGCCTAATCATTTAGGCCTAGAATGATGTCTGCCAAGTTTCGTGAAAATCGGTCCAGATTTAGATATAGCTCCCATATATAGTTTTGTCCGATTTCATGTAAATGGTGCCCCAAATTCCCTATATATCTTTTGATTTGCACGAAATTTGGCATAACGTACTGAATTAAGCCAAGAGTGATGTCTGCCAAATTTCGAGAAAATCGGTCCAGATTTAGATATAGCTCCCATATATAGTTTCGTCCGATTTCATGTAAATGGTGCACCAAAGTCCCTATATATCCTTCGATTTGCACGAAATTTGGCATAACGTACTTAATTGAGCCTAGAATGATGTCTACCAAGTTTCATGAAAATCGATCCTGATTTAGATATAGCTCCCATATATAGTTTCGTCCGATTTCATGTAAATGGTGCCCCAAAAAGTCCCTATATATCTTGCGATTTGCACTAAATTTGGCATAACGTACTGAATTGAGTCTGGAATGATGTCTGCCAAGTTTCGTGAAAATAGGTCAAGATTTAGATATAGCTCCCATATATAGTTTCGTCCGATTTCATGTAAATGGTGCACCAAAGTCCCTATATATCTTTCGATTTGCACGAAATTTGGCAGAACGTACTGAATTGAGCCTAGAGTGATGTCTGCCAAGTTTCGAGAAAATCGGTCTGGATTTAGATATAGCTCCCATATATAATTTCGTCCGATTTCATGTAAATGGTGCACCAAAGTCCCTATATATCCTTCGATTTGCACGAAATGTGGCATAACGTACTTAATTGAGCCTAGAATGATGTCTACCAAGTTTCATGAAAATCGATCCTGATTTAGATATAGCTCCCATATATAATGTCGTCCGATTTCATGTAAATGGTGCCCCAAAGTCCCTATATATCTTGCGATTTGCACTAAATTTGGCATAACGTACTGAATTGAGTCTGGAATGATGTCTGCCAAGTTTCGTGAAAATAGGTCAAGATTTAGATATAGCTCCCATATATAGTTTCGTCCGATTTCATGTAAATGGTGCACCAAAGTCCCTATATATCTTTCGATTTGCACGAAATTTGGCAGAACGTACTGAATTGAGCCTAGAGTGATGTCTGCCAAGTTTCGAGAATATCGGTCCAGATTTAGATATAGCTCCCATATATAATTTCGTCCGATTTCATGTAAATGGTGCACCAAAGGCCCTATATATCTTTCGATTTGCACGAAATTTGGCATAACGTACTGAATTGAGCCTAGAGTGATGTCTGCAAGGTTTCGAGAACATCGGTCCAGATTTCTATATAGCTCCCACATATAGTTTCGTCCGATTTCATGTAAATGGTGCACCAAAGTCCCTATATATCTTTCGATTTGCACGAAATTTGGCAGAACGTACTGAATTGAGCCTAGAGTGATGTCTGCCTTGTTTCGTGAAAATCGGTCCAGATTTAGATATAGCTCCCTTTTATTATAGATTGATTTTAAGTAATTGACGCACCAAGGAACCAATAGGAACAAAACGTTCTAAAATTAGTATAACCTTACCTGTGACAAGTTTGTTTGAAATCGCTTAATATTTGGATAGAGCTTCCGTATATATTTTCGCCCGATTGATTGACATCAAATTTTGCACAACGTACAAAATTGAGCATAGAATTACGTAGTTGCGTTTTCTAGAAGTACAGACATAGCCCAACGGATGACCTATTTATATTTGTTTGAAGTCGATTTACATATTTTATGGATAGATCTAGGTGGATTCACATTTAGATAAATATCATATATTTTATATCATCCCATTTCATATTAATAGCCCTGTTTAATATACCCATAGTGGTGAAGGGTATCATATAGTCGGCCCCGTCCGACTTTACTACTTTTCTTACTGGTTTTCCACTCAGTTACCCGGATGTAATTAATGTATATGATTCCACATTGATTCCAATGGATAGATGATAATGTATGTATGTCGGAATCATTGTGGAATCATATACGTATGTACGGCAATTTAGCTGAATGTTGTTTAATATAGTTTTCATGCTTTATAAAAAAACAAAAATTATTTTTTAAATTATAAATTTCGTATAAAAATATTTGCTTTCAATTTCAAATCTGACACTCCAAGTTTGCAGAGATTATAATTTTTTTTTTCAAACTGGAACATTCGCCAACATTTTGCCAAAACCTAATTGCAGCAATACCAAAAAACACATCCTCAGGAATTATTTAATAATCAAATGCTGCTGTTGTTGTTATTATTCTCTTCCGCCTCAGATGATTCCGAAATTATACGCTGCAATAAACCCTGTTATACTAATCGCCTCAATTTTATATTAACTTTTTTTCATCGAAAAGAAAAACAACGCAAAAAATTGGCAGATATAGAACAGAATTTCATACAATAATAACAAAGGCTACAACAAAAAACGGACAGTATTTTTGCCAATAGCGAACACATTCACAGTCAGTCGGAAGCACTCCAGCACTCAACCACAGTCTAATAATTTTTAACAAGAATTGCTACGATGTTCATTTTTTATTTAAATTCTTATGACATGTCAAGTAGGGTGTATGCCAGTTGGCGTGATGGAATTTGTAAGAGAAAATCTTTTCCGAAATTATTTAAAATAAAGTGGTTTAAAATTCACATTTTCATTCAGTTATGTCGTAATTATTATCTTGGGCAATTTTAGAGGTAAAGCGTTACTATTCTCCCCTGATAACCAGACAAGTAAAACCGTCGAAAAGTTCGGTCGGGTTGAACATTTTATACTCTTCGCAAGAAACAAGTGTATGGGGAATAAGTAAAAACAAGGAAGTTCATTGTATTTTTTTTTACACAGCCGAATATGGGATTAGGCCTTTATATGGATACTACACGAAAACATAAACTAAATACAAACATTTTCAAAAATGGAAATGAAGAGAAAACTAAATTTGAGAAGAATAGAAAGCATCCATGAACTCGGAGTTCAAAATTACAAAATGTAGCGGAACGTTGGGATCAATGTGAAACCACAAACCTATATTAAATATTTTCTGTAAATATATTTTTTTGCCCTATGCAAACCCTGAACGCCAAATTACTTCTAAGGACATAGACCTTCAAATTCCTTGTAATACAACGGCATCTCTCCATAGAATTTATATTAAAACCACAATAATATAAGTGATCACACTAAGTCCAACTTAAATATCAAGTATAATAACATAAAACTTGAAATTATATCACTCCTAAAGAACGCACCCTTCAATCCATTGGTCGTCATACTTAAAATTATTGCTCCACATTTATTAAGCTGAATTTTATTCTCTAATTGCATTACATGTTTTTTCTCTTTCTTCTTTTCTTTTCATGTTTTCCCCTTCATTCCATTCATTGGAATGCCACGATTTGGGTTTACTTTGAACGGCCAGATAAACTAACAAAAAGAGTTACGGCTGTAGCAGTGGCCCTACCACAAAGCCAGACAACAGCAGTTGGTGGAGCAACTGTGGCATTTGTCGAGAGTTTCCAATTCAATGCTTTCGATACGACACGTACAACGTTTGCCTCGTCCGCGTCTTCGTCATCATCATCGTCATTTGAAGGAACGGGTGGTACACAAATGTCTTCATTACCATCATTCTCCACATCCTTGGCCACTTCATTACAGCCGTCAGCCTTTTCGCCGTCATTGTCAGCATCAGCATCATCTCAAACAGCGGCAGCATATCCTACACTAATATCAACAACTTCATCCGGTTTTCATAACACGAAGACGTCCAGAATTATGAGCAATCTCAACAGCATTAGTAGTAGCATACACCCCCTCGGCCCAACAATAACAACGCCCACTGTCCATTTATTGCAACACACCACCCAGCATCGGTCCAGCGGCAATGGTATGCATTCCAAATTTACTAGTGCTCGTCAGACTAGCCCAACTGCCATGGGACTCAGTTCCAGTGCATTGCCTTCGTTCAAAAGTTTTATGAGAAGCACAAGAACTCATAGCACGGCCGGCAGTTACACCAGTACGACAAACAGTGGCAAACAGCAACAACAACCAGAGCACCGGCAGTTTCCACTTGATTTTACATTTTCTAAAAATCATTGGACAAATTCAGGTAAGTGTCATTCATGTATATAATGACAGGGCGGGTAGGGAGCAAGCATGGGGATGATGGCGATGGTAATCTCCAGCATAAAGTGCATGTCAAACGAAATCTGAAACTGTGCCAGAGTTTGTGTAAGCTGAAATAACACGAAGTACATTAAAGCTGATGGAATAAATGTTAGCAGTGCTTTAATGTTAGTCAGGATGCATTTACATCATAAGCTTGGATTTTTATTGCTCAACAAAAAATGAGTGAGACGTGAATATTTTATATAAAAAGGGAATAAAATATTTTTATAGTTTTCAATGACAGAAGACAAATTTAAAATGGGAGAAAAAAACCTGATGATGACTATTTTTATAGAAATGTCAAACAAAACTAATCCAAAGAATATACCCGGAAGAAGTGGAAGCAATGTTTTTATTCGGCCTCCCAATAAGATTAAAAACGATTTTTGGTACGTATATGTAAGTGACTGTTTATTTATGTTAAAAATACCATGTAAATTAAAGGTATTCTGAGGGTTTGAACAACTGCCAACTGAATTGACAGTAATTCAATATCTAGTTTTTTTATTACATTGATACCAACAATTATAAATCTTTGTCCCCCTTTAACGGCCGTTACAATTTTCCAATTTTCTATTATTAAATATATTAAGATATAAAAATGTCCATCGTTCGCTTACGTATCCTTTGAGGACGACCCAATTTTTCGAGCAAATGAATTCGTCATCAAATCATTTAAATGCAATGGTTTGCAAGCGTTGTTCGTTAGTTAGACTATTCTTTTTCCTTTTTTATTATCGTCAGGACAACTGTAGTTCTCTGGATATCATTCGGAAAAGTCTGAATATTCTTTTTTAAATTTCAAAAAAATACGAATCAAATAAACTCTATTCTCGACTCAAATAAGGATTTGAGGCAACACTCAAATAAGGATTATCCAAGCTGAGCTCGGCTAGGATTCCAAACATATTCTAGACAGGTTCTAGATTCTGAGGGTTACACAAAAACATGCGTACAACATGAAAGCAATTGTAGCCGTGTGAGAAAAATATCCATCGCTACAACAAAAATCTGCTTTGATAAAGAACTGCTTTTGGAGTGAAGACAAATGCGAACTTTGATAAATTTAAATTTACTTCTCAGATACAATTTCGCACTAACTTCGATATTAATAGAAATTATCAACAAATGTAAAAGCACATTTTTCAATATGACGAAACGAGTCGCAAACTGGTTGGTGTGTAGGTTCACTCTGACTTTCCTTTTCTGTGCAAATCTTCTATCATTAAGCTCAACTCGATGGAGAAAAAATTTACTATGAAACGTTATTTGGTTTTGTGTAAAAATGAAATTAATGCGGAATTTGAATGTGGAGTTTTTCGGGTCTACTATGAAAATGTTTGTTTGATTTATTATATCGGTCCACGTTTAGGCATAGCAAACCCCCATTCGGTAGTTTGAATGTATTAGACGCATCTTCCAACAAAACTTGCTTTGGAAAAACATTAAATGAGAAATAATTTGAATATATTAAAAAGAGATGAAACTGGTTAAATGACTTTACATTTTTATGTCTTCCTATAATGTAGTTCTTAATGAAATTCTATACTGTATATGACAAATATTGTCATTTTTTTATAATATAACTCCGGTATTATTAATGTTCATGATAAAAATTGACTAGTTTAGGATTCATTGTTCTGTCGTTGCTTACTTATCATTATGTTGACCTCCAAAGTTTATTTACGTGGATGCTGTATTCTTAAATGTAACCAGTAAGGAAAGTAGTAAAGTCGGACGGGACCGACTATATGATACCCTTCACCACTTTGAGCATATTCAACAGATGAATCCTAACAGACTTCGCATTTTTAAAGGACCAGTAAAATGAAATTGGAACCATAAACAGGTCATTCTGCAACCGATACTAAATTGTTCATTTGGTCAGATCTTCAGGATTCAGGAAACTTAACACACATCATTCAAGACCTAATTTGTTACGCTGTGCCAAATTTCGTGCTTAAATCGACTCAAAAAGTGATTCTATGCATATTCTCAAACGGAACCATGTGTCTGTCTCGTTTCCTTTTGCCTCTTACAAACATATGCACAAAAACATAATACCCTGTACCAGAAAAAAGAATTTGGTTCAAGAACCTCAAAACCTGGGGGCTACCAGAAAAAATTGACCAATATTTTTTTAATTCATAGTGAAGAGATGTACTACCTAATAAGAACTCGACGTACTAAATTACAGTCAATTTGGTCGAAAAATACGATCAGTACCCCCAAAATACCAAAATTTTGGGGGTACCGTTATATGGGGACTACCAGAAAAACTGGACCTATATTTATAATTTTTAGTGGAGTCATTTGGTACCCAATAAGAACCCAATGTACAACATTTCAAAGAATTCAGTTGTAAAACGAGCCCAAGAACCCGAAAATACCGAAAATTGGGGGTACCCTTATTTATAATGTTTGGTAGGGAGATTTGCCACCCAATAAGAACACAAAGTACCAAATTTCAGCGAATTCGGTCGCAAAATGCGATCAAAATCCCCAAAATACCGAAAATTAGGGATAATCTTATATGGGGGCTATCCGAAAAAATTGACCTTTATTTATAATTTTTGGTAGGGAGATTTGCTACCCAATAAGAACTCAAAGTACCAAATTTCAGCGAATTCAGTTAAACAACGCGCTCAAGAACCTCAAAATACCGAAAATTTGGGTGTACCCTTATATGGGGGCTATCCGAAAAAATGGACCTTTATTTATAATTTTTGGTAGGGAGATTTGTTACCCAATAAGAACACAAAGTACTAAATTTCAGCGAATTCGGTCGAAAAATGCGATCAATACCCCCATAATACCGAAAATTGGGGGTACCCTTATATGGGAGCTATGCCTAAACGTGGACCGATTTTCTCCAATTTCAATAGGGTTCGTCCTTGGGCCAATTAAGTGACATGTGCCAAATTTCATCCAAATCGGATCATAAATGCGGCCTGTACTTTATTAACAAAAATACATGGACAGACGGACGGACTGACGGACATGCATAAATCGACTCAGAAAGTGATTCTATGCATATTCTCAAAAGGAACCATGGGTCTATCCCGATTATTTTTGCCTGTTACAAACATATGCACAAAGACATAATACCCTGTACCAGAGTGTGGTGAAGGGTATAAAAAGTGGTAAAAACAGGGTGAGGCAACCCAGGTTTTTTTCATATTTTTTTTAGTGTCAAAGTAAAAAAAAAACATACAAAATGTATCATTTTTCGAAAATTTATCTGCATTTACCTTTAATGTTGACCTCCAAAGTTTATTTAGGTGGTTCTGTATTCTTAAAAGTAAAACCAGTAAGGAAAGTAGTAAAGTCGGACGGGGCCGACTATATGATACCCTTCACCACTATGGGTATATTAAACTGGACTATTAACATGAAATTGGATGAAATAAAATATGTGATATTTATCTAAATGTAAATCTACATAGATCTATCCATAAAATATGTAAATCGACTTCAAACAAATATAAAGAGGTCATCCGTTGGGCTATTTCTGTACTTCTAGAAAACGCAACTACGTAGTTCTATGCTCAATTTTGTAAGTTGTGCACAATTTGATGTCAATCTGACTAACATGGAAGCTCTATCCAAATATTAAGCGATTTCAAACAAACTTGTCACAGGTTAGGTTATACTAATTTCAGAACGTTTTGTTCCAATCAGCATAGTGGTTCCTTGGTGCGTCAATTACTTAAAATAAATCTATAATAAAAGCGAGCTATATCCAAATCTGGACCGATCTACACGATACAAGGCAGACATCACTCTAGGCTCAATTCAGTACATTATGCCAAATTTCGTGCAAATCGAAAGATATATAGGCTCAATTTAGTACGTTATGCCAAATTTGGTGCACATCGAAAGATATATAGGGACTTTGGGGCACCATTTACATTAAATCGGACGGAACTATATATGGGAGCTATATCTAAATCCAGACCGATTTTCTCGAAACTTGGCAGACATCACTCTAGGCTTAATTCAGTACGATATGCCACATTTCATGCCAATCGAAAGATATATATGGGCTTTGGGGCACCATTTACATTAAATCGGACGAAACTATATATGGGAGCTATATCTAAATCTGGACCGATTTTCTCAAAACTTGGCAGACATCACTCTAGGCTTAATTCAGTACGATATGCCACATTTCATGCCAATCGAAAGATATATATGGGCTTTGGGGCACCATTTACATTAAATCGGACGAAACTATATATGGGAGCTATATCTAAATCTGGACCGATTTTCTCAAAACTTGACAGACATCACTCTAGGCTTAATTCAGTACGATTTGCCAAATTTCGTGCAAATCGAAAGATATATAGGGACTTTGGTGCACCATTTACATGAAATCGGACGAAACGATATATGGGAGCTATATCTAAATCTGGACCGATTTTCACGAAACTTGGCAGACATCATTCTAGACCTAAATAATTAGGCTGTACCAAATTTCGTGCAAATCGAAAGATATATAGGGACCGTTTACATTAAATCGGTTAAATATATATGGGATCTATATTTAAATCTGAACCGATTTTTCCCAATTTCAATAGGGTTCGTCCTTGGGCCGAATAAGTTACCTATGCCAAATTTCTTCCAATTCGCATCATAAATGCGACCTGTACTTTGTTTACAATTTAACATGGACAGACAGACGGACGGACATGCATAAATCGACTTAGAAAGTGATTCTATGCATATTCTCAAAAGGAACCATGGGTCTATCTCGATTATTTTTGCCTGTTACAAACATATGCACAAAGACATAATACCCTGTACCACAGTGTGGTGAAGGGTATAACTACTGGTAAAAACTGGGTGAGGCAACCCATGTTTTTTCATATTTTTTTAGTGCCAAAGCTATACATATATAGCTTCAGAGTTATACTCTTTCGAAGGTAGGAATTTTAGGAGAGCAAATTTCAAAAATCCAATTTTCCGGTGAAATTTTTATATGTCATTTGGCTTTTTTACGTTCCGAATTTGCATCGGGGCAAATTCGGCAATCGCGTTTTCGATATGAAGCTCTCATTGTACATCACTAGCTTTGATCCATATGTATCGAATATCAGAATAAATAACTGTCGCAAAGTTGGAAATCTCTAGTTAATAAACTAATTTAGGTGCACGTTTTTTTGTATTTTTACAGATGTTTTGGTAATATTTCCATTGCATGTCGTAAGAATTTCGTGTATAAAACTTTTCAAAATTACCATGTATATTTTCAAAATTATCATGTATATTCGCATAAATATAGTTATAAATATTAGGATTTTAAAAGATTGATAGAAAAAAAGAAACAAGTGAAAAAGGCGTTAAGTTCGGCCGGGACGAACTTTGGATACCCTTCACCATAGGTATAAATATAGTTACATGAAATGAAAATATGTGGAACATACCAACAAGTATACCTATACCAACCATTGTTGTTGTAAACCATAATGTATACCAAATACAAATTTCGGCAATTTTTAATGGAGATTTGTACTAAAATCCCAAAACCCTAAAATGTGGACCGATTTTGTCGATATGAGGCCATCACCAACGGTGAGGTGGAAGCTGCTGGTTCAATATGAAAATTTTCATTGCAGAAAAAACATTTCATTTACGTCGTGTAGGAAATACCGTACAGTTGGAGTTGTAATTATTTGAGGTTCTATGCATAATTGAGGACTGATACAGTTCTAATTTATGCACACATGTTGGCATCACAATACCTTCATTCACGCTAAATATAAAAACATCGATAATAGGTATGGATGGTAGTCCTAACTGGGGGCCGATATATTATATTTCATTCTCGAATCTGGCCGTTCTAGTTTTTTACCTCGATATTCCCCAAAGGTAGAATGATTAAAACAGATGGCTAAATTGTCTTAGAATTCTATATTTCGAATACAGAATATATACACTACTATGGTGGAATGCTACTACATGGGGATAAACCCCAAACGCCAAAAATCAGACAACTATTTAATATATATATATAATATACCTTCCATACTATGGAGGGTATAAAAAGGGGGTTATATGGGGACTACCTCAAAAAGGAGGAGAATGTTAATATTTTTTGGTAGGGAGATTTGTTACCATATACGACTACAAAATACCGAATTACAGCGAATTCGGTTGAAAAACGCGCTGAAGAACCTGAATATACCGAAAATTGGGGTACCCTTCATTGGGGGCTACCCGAAAAAATGGAACTATATTTATAATTTTTAGTGGAGAGATTTTCTACCCAATAAGAACTCAAAGTACAAAATTTGGGGGATACCAGAAAAAGCGGACCGATATTTATAATTTTTAGTGGTGATATTCTGTACCCAATGTAACCCAATGTACCAAATTTTAGCGAATTCCGTTGAAAAACGGGCTCAAGAACCCCAAAATACCGAAAATTATGTGGTATCCTTATATGGAGGCTGCCCGAAAAATGGAGCTATATTTATAATTTCTAGTGGATATATTTGCTACCCAATAAGAACGCAAAGTACTATATTACAGCCAATTCGGTTGAAAACTACGATCAATACCCCCAAAATACTGAAATTTAGAAGGTACCGTTATATGGGGGCCACCATAAAAAGTGGACCTTTATGTATAATTTTTTGTACACGAATTAAGTACCCAATAACAACCCAATGTACCAATATGTGAGCTATGCTTAAACGGGGACCGATATATCCCATCTTCGAACAAAAGACGACTCTGTACCAAATTTTGGCGATCTATCTCAACACGTTTAGACGCTAGAGTGATTACAACAGACGGACGGACAGACCAACAAGCTTAGATCGTCTTAGAATTTTACGCTGATCATGAATATGTATACTTTATAGGGTCGGAAATGATTATTTCGATACTCCATACTATGGTGGAGGGTATAAAAATCTATAAAAAGCACCTTCGGGATACATTTGGCATTTTAAAGTGGGGCACATTCGGACATATACAGATAGTGCTATATTATTTCCATAAAATGATTTTGAGTTTGACTTTAAAAATAATCCTTCAATATTGTTCGAAATTACATATATAAGATCAAACGTGCTTGTACTGACGAAAATCCGATAGAGACGTTAACGTCCGGCACTAGAAAATATATATAGGATCTGCATTCAACCGGCTGATAGCGGTGATAAAAAAATATTTTGTAAATATCGCGGATTTAGTTGCATTTTCTGTGGATCAACATTTGCAAAAACAGAACTTGAAAAATTTCAGTCGACAGAGAGATGTAAGCTGGGACATATGTGGTTCTTAATGGACCGCATCGATGTATTTTTTTGGGATGCGTGTTAAAGGCGTATAGACTGTTTGGAAATTATTCAATTTTAACGTGTTTTTAAGTACATCAATGCAATGTGTATTACCTCTTAGCCAAATTAAATTAAATTTCGCAAAATATCCATGGATTGGAAGACAAACTTCAGTACTTCTTGGAAACCGCATGCGTATCAAATGATTTTGAAGATTACGGGATTTAGGCACAATTTAAATTGTATATTTCAAAATATAGATTTATTCCTATTTATAAAACCCCATGACTTATTGGAAGGGTCTTGCTATATTCCGCAAGGCGATTATTTTTATAAGAAGTGCTTATTTTTATATATCGCTAGCTAAAATGCAAAAAGGCGTAACTAACAAAAGCATAATTGTGTAGGAGAAGCAAAAAACTATTTTAAATAAAAACTATAAACATGTCATGTGAAATGAACAAGTATGCCCGGCAGGGTGATATTGCATATGACGAATAATAGACTATAGTTTTTTAACAACTTTAGTTATTTAGTTTAATGGCAGTCATAACAATTAAGTAAAAATTTTAATTTTTTGTTAGTTACGCCTTTTTGCATTAATCAAATAAACCCACTTGTAGTTACGTCTTTTTGTTTTTTGTTAATAGAAGCTCCTTTTTTGACCGCAGACGTGTAAAACTTTGTCAACACACGTAGTTTATTGACATTCACAATATTCATTCAAAAAGTCAATTTTCAATTTGTTGTTAGTTACGCCTTTTTGCATTTAAGCTAAGATATTCAAAATTTTCGGGGAATTTCGGGTAACATAGAAAAATAACGCCAACATGTTTTTTTCTGAAATTTCTCGTATAAAATTAAAAAAAAATAAAAATGATGGACCAAAAACAAATAATTTTCCTCAATGTCTTGTTTAATTTTGATATCATTTGATTTACCGTGGTGTTTAGATTATTTTCCCCAACGAAACGTGCAAATATTGAATATTTTCCCGTGTTTTTTGCGATTATATTTCGGTGAAAATTGATATATAGTCGGATTTTGCCATAAAGCAAACAAAAAAGGCACCAGTACCCCAAAAATTTAAAACATTCTACGAAAATTATTATAACAAAAGCGGCCGCCATGGCTCCCAAAGCTTCGGAAAGCGTCTTATTAGGACAAGAAACCTTGTATTTACATTAACATCAATATCTGAAACATCCTATAAATTAAATTACAACTTCATAACGGACATGAACAATATGACAACCATGGAATCATTAGCATTGCCCCAGGATCTGTATTGGGAAGGCAAAATGGAACCAATTTCGCCTCCCAATGACGAGCTACTTCCCGTATGTGAAGATCTTAGTGAGAATTGGCTCGCCCCTGATGAACATTTTGAAAACGACATGATGATATTTCCCTATCAAATTGACTTTGAATTAAAACATCATGATGTCGACTTGGTCGAAGCATTGTCAGATGATGAAGATTTAATAATGGAGTTTTACGGTTTAAAAGAAGAAAACTTTTCTTCGCCAACTTCTTTATGGGATAATTCAATCGAAAGCCCTGTCGTCAATCCCACTCAGGTACACTCAGGTATAAAGGTACAAACTCCAACCGAAGTACATCACTTCAGTTCTGCCAATCACAACGCTTCGGTTTTAACATAATTAACGCCACTAAGTTCACCGCCTCAAACAGCTGCTTCGTCGCCAATACCAACATCGTCATCGTCAACCAATTTGGATGCGGTGACAACAGTCAATCAAATACCAATAGGCATATATGATGTTTTACAGCAAAATCATTTGAGTGGTTCCGAACTAACTTCACCAGTTCCGCAAACACAACAATTTGCATTTGCTAACTGGAATAACAGTTCGCCCAATCACCAAGGAACTGCAACAACAGATGCAAGCTCTGAGGATGACATTGAATTCAATACACAACCAATTGATGACATTATGAAATCGGCTGCCGACAAATATTTTGAGGATGGCGAAACACAATCATCAATTTCAGCTCCACTTAGACTACACCGACGACGAATGTCTACCATATTCAGGCAGTTGTTCGCCACTGCAACAACTGTCAGCCGATACATCGTCACCATTACCGGCCAAAAAAAGAACTCGCCTCTATGGCCGCGGTGTTGAGGATCGCAAGAGCAGGAAGAAGGAACTGAATAAGAATGCGGCCACTCGTTATTGTCAAAAGAAGAATTTGGAAATGGAACAAATTCTCATGGAAGAACAAGAATTGACAAAGTCAGTTGGCTGAGCGTGAATGCGAAGCTAAATAATTGAAAACGCTCATTAAAGAATTCTATTTGAATAAGAAATTGTAAATCCTCAAACTTCTATTGTTGCAGTACAGTCTCCTGGAAATCAAATCTCCATTCTAATATTTAATGTATACTCTCATTTCTTTGATATAACCTAAATTGTATTTTATTTATAATACGCTCCAACAAAAATTTAATTTTATTTCTTAATTTACCTGCAACCTCTGGTGACTATAAATTCTTCAAATCACCTATTAACATCTTTATGCCTTTAAAAGGCATTACTGGCAATAAATTTAAATACATATTTTCCTGATAAACTTCCAATAGAATATTGAAAAGCTCCATAAAGCATAGCCTCGTGGCATGACTCCCTCGCTTTCTATCCTATTTACTTACATTTTTGTTTAAAGAGTATTTGGTCTAGACATCGCCTGTTTAATACTACTAACCTGCTGATGTTTCACTCAATATATCGGGTATCTGCTGGTATTTGCCTCTTGCTTCGATACTGTGTGCCACGGGTTATTTACAAGCTATCCAGCCATCTAGCCAACCAGCTTGAAACATTGAAACAACAAACCACAATTCACCTATTTTCGAATTTTTGCAATCACTTTTAGCTGTTGTTGTTGCTGTTTTTGTTTGTTGTGAATGAAATCAAGTATAAAATTGCTTTTGTTATTTTCTCAATTTTATTTTCTTCGTTGCTTTCAAGTGGTTCTTATCCTTCGACATTTGTTACCGCACACACAATCTGTGGCAAATGTCGTTGCCGTCGACGATGTCAAGAAGGTAGTGCTTACCAGCTAAGACGTATTAGAACATAATAAAATGTTGGGTTACTGTTGATGTTGTTGTCGTTTCCCCCACACCCTGCACCGTCGCCCGGAGCAAAGCCGAGTCGAGAGGGTTGAAGTGAAAAACAAATACACTCCCTGAAATCGAATACAATTTCATTTAAGACTCTTGTTACAGAATACAACAAGCAAATTAGATTTCGAAACGAATGTAGCAAATGGCATTAAAAGTTCAGACTTGAAGAATGTTTGTTTGTATGTTTGTAAGAACGTACAACGTACATACAACCAAAAGCTTAATTAAGTTTCCCAATAATTAGCATCAGCATTGAATGTTTTTGCAAATGCTGCTGCAAGTGCATTTTGGGCAACATTGCCATGGCCACCCCGGAGCTAGAAATTTACAACAACAGCTGGTTGGTTAGCTCTAACAATAATTTCAAAATCAATGGTTCGTTTACATCCACTGAGCAGTGTGGTAAGCCGCATCAATGTTAACAGGTCTCTCCTGGCTGATACTGACTCTGAATGAATGAATTCGATTGGTTACCTTATGCATGGCTGGTTGACATGACTTCATTAAAAGTGAGTGGATTGGTGTGTTTCGTTACTTTTTTAATTCTCAATTTTTAATGGGATTGGCTCCATCAAGCATAAAATTGCATCTGGAACTTTATTCATTGAAATCATGGCCAAAAAGTTTACAATCCAATAATTACGTAGTTGGGAATTTACAACAGTCGGCGAAGGTAAATGTTAAAGTACGATGGTGGAAATGTGCAAAAAGTCTTTAAATTGAGATAAAACAAGGATTTTTATGGACGTCATTGCAAAATTAAAGCTAGGCTTTTTTTTCAGCTTGATTACTATGTAGCAGTTATAATGGTAAACGATAACCAAAAATATTATTTCGATTACTATTATATAAAACTTTACCGATCGTTACAGTTTTTTTTAATCATATTGACTTAATTTGTGGCACATGTAATTACTAACGCGCAATTGCCTACATCAAGTAATTTCAATTATTTCTTTATGGTTTCTCCCATTAAAATAATATTTTCTTATACCGCAATTGACGAAGTCTGCTGGCAATCCAGACATCGTTTGAAATCGCATATATACATTATACGAGCAAAATGCCAATACGCTTCTTTTCCGCTCTCTAAGATGTTATTATACCCTTCACCACACTGTGGTACAGGGTATTATGTCTTTGTGCATATGTTTGTAACAGGCAAAAGGAAACGAGATAGACACATGGTTCCTTTTGAGAATATGCTTAGAATCACTTTTTAAGTCGATTTATGCATGTCCATCCGTCTGTCTGTCTGTCCATGTTAAATTGTAAACAAAGTACAGGTCGCATTTATTATCCGAATTGGATGAAATTTGGCATAGATCACTTATTCGGCCCAAGGACGAACCCTATTGAAATTGGGAAAAATCGGTCCTGATTTAGATATAGCTCCTATATATATTTAACCGATTTAATGTAAACGGTTCCTATATAACTTTCGATTTGCACGAAATTTGGTACAGCCTAATCATTTAGGTCTAGAATGATGTCTGCCAAGTTTCGTGAAAATCGGTCCAGATTTAGATATAGCTCCCATATATAGTTTCGTCCGATTTCATGTAAATGGTGCACCAAAGTCCCTATATATCTTTCGATTTGCCCTAAATTTGGCATTGCGTACTGAATTGAGCCTAGAATTATGTCTGCCAAGTTTCGTGAAAATCGGTCCAGATTTAGATATAGCTCCCATATATAGTTTCGTCCGATTTCATGTAAATGGTGCCCCAAAGTCCCTATATTTCTTTCGATTTGCACGAATTTTGTTATAACGTACTGAATTGAGCCTAGAGTGATGTCTGCCACGTTTTGAGAAAATCGGTTTACATTTAGATATACCTCCCATATATAGTTTCGTCCGATTTCATGTAAATGGTGCCCCAAAGTCGCTATATATCTTTCGATTTGCATGAAATTTGGCATATCGTACTGAATTAAGCCTAGAGTGATGTCTGCCAAGTTTTGAGAAAATCAGTTCAGATTTAGATATACCTCCCATATTTAGTTTTGTCCGATTTCATGTAAATGGTGCCCCAAAGTCGCTATATATCATTCGATTTGCACGAAATTTGTTATAGCGTACTGAATGATGTCTAGAATGGTGTGTGTTAAGTTTCGTGAAAATCGGTTCCGATTTAAGGAAAATGGTGAACCACAGTCCTTAAAAAAATTTGGCACAGCATAATGAATTGGGTCTAGAATGATGTGTGTTGAGTTTCCTGAAAATCGGTTCAGGCTTAGATATAGCTCCCATATATATTTTCGTCTGATTTTAGATAGAGCATCAGAGTCCCTACATATCTCTGTGTTAAATTTCCTGAAAATCGCTCCAGATTTAGATATAGCTTCCATATACATTTTCGTCCACATATATCTTTCGTAATGAACTTAGTATAACCTATAAGTTAGATATAAATGCTGCACCGAATTACCCAGGTGGGTCCGATTGGCATAAAATTTTGCACAACTTATTGAAGTTATTATGAGATAAAGTGATATATGCTTTAAATTTATTTACATAATTTTGTCCCATTGAAAAGAATCAAATCTATATCTGAAATGAAAAATTTAGTATAGGTTGCAGGAAGACATGTTTATGGGTCCAATTTCATTTTACAGGTTCTTCAAAAATGCGACGTCTGTTAAGATTCATCTGTTGTATATAGCCAAAGTGGTGAAGGGTATCATATAGTCGGCCCCGTCCGACTTTACTACTTTCCTTACTGGTTTTTTGTTTAAATAGTACAAATTAATTTAACCTAACGAAGTTAACAGCTACAGGTCCTTAATGCACCTGCTTAAGAGTCACCATTCGCACATACACACACACACACCCACATTCATAAACGGAACGAATGTTAATGAGTAATTGTTGCTGCCAAACAAGTCGTTAACTTTTATGGTTTTAGAGGTTTTATTGATTAAGAACTATTTTCCGCAACATTTCCTAACCACTTGCCATGAAAGTAACAACGTTTATTCGTATACCCAACAAGATATGCTCACCAGTAGCCGTATAGAAATAATTATGTTGTAATAGAAGAATTTATGAGCGGAATTCATTACAGAAAATAATATTGCAACGATAAAATCGTAACATAAACGAAATATTCTCACGGCAAATTAAAGGGAAATGTCAAAGAGGAAACTGTAATCGTGGATCGCTAGAAAATAAATGTGTAATTATGTTAAATGTATACTAATTTGGAATATATTTTTTGTAGAATGGTTAGCATTTAAATTAATCCAGATGTAAGCATGTAATTTTGTGACTTTATTAAAATAAATCCAATTGCTCATCTCACAGAAATTTAAAAGAGACTGAATCGAATTCTACGCTATAGTTTCGCCTCCTCCTCTTCCTTTACAAATTTCATAAATTTGGTTTATTGGTATGTTCCATACTAAAGTATGTTCAATTTATGGCACCTTCATGATCATAATTACTACCAAAATACACATAAGTAGCTTTCTATATGTATTTCAGCCCTAAAAATTAAAATATTTATAATAAAAAATTATTTTATTTTTATACCCCGATTGAGTCAGCTTTAAAACATGGTTTTTGTGCCCTTCAGCATCATCTTCTGGCGACAAAATTGTTGACCAAGAATGAAGCGCCGTAATAGACCAAGACGTTCGTTCGCCTTTAAATTGTTACTAATTATTTTGAAGGTGTCTACGTACTATTCTAATATTGCTACCATTATGATACTAGAAACATTCCAAAGACTTTCCTTTTCATTGCAAAATTCGGACATCATGCCATGTACAGACGAGCGTTGTTCGCTCTCTCATTCGTTGTTCGACCCTTAATTATGAAATAATTACTTAGTTCCCCATACAAAATTGTCTGAGTGAACACCGACTTTTGTACGTTGTTCAATTCGAATCACTCTCTGAATAACCAAAAAATTTGTCCCATCCCTAACAATTGAGAGTATTTATCGAAAATAAATTAATTTTGACAGCATGAAAATATTTATAAAATTTTCAAACTTTTTCAGTAAAATTGAAAATGATGAATGAAAAGTAAAAATTTTTATAGTTTTATATATGCAACAGGATGTAAATTTTGTTTTCTACATAATACAATATGTATTTCTTTTCCCTTGGTTCT